TTGGCCTTAATTTTCCCTTCTCCCATAATTCCAGGATTCTGACCTCTGTTTTCCATTCCTGACTATTCCCAGATTCTGACCTTCATTTTCCCTTCTCTGATATTCCAGGATTCTGGTCTTTATTTTCCCTTCCCTGATAATTCCAGGATTCTGACCTTTATTTTCCTTTCCCAGTTATTCCCAGATTTTGTCCTTAATTCTCCCTTCCCTCATAATTCCAGGATTCTGTCCTTTATTTTCCCTTCCCAAGTATTCCCAGATTCCAGCCTTTATTTTCCCTTCCCCATCATTCCAGGCCTCTCCTCCTTCCCAGATCCCTCTGGTTCATTGGGATTTTTTCCTGGATTCCCAATATTTTCCCCTGGAACGGCTTCAGGTGTTTCCAGGCTCCTTCATTCCGATTCCCCACAGAAATCTGGGATCAGGGGGTGCCTGGGAAAGCCTCCGGAGCCGGGGGAGCTCCCCTGGAATTCCGAGGGGTCACATCCAGGCTGGGATTCCAGGTTTCCAGAGTTTATGGGGGAGCTCTGGACCCTCTTCCCAACCTCGGGAATGGGAGTGGTTGCGTTTTCCCGGGACTGACACCTGGCTGGGGGTGGGATAATCCCATATTTGGGAATTCCAGCTTTCCAGGAGGATGTGGGAAGGGGCTGGAATGCAGGGCAGCGGGATGTGGGATCCACGGAGGGAGCCCCATTCCAGAGGGAGGATAATTGGGATAATTGGGATAATTGGGATAACAGCCGTGACAGGGAGCCCTGGGGTTGTTGGGATCATCCATGGCCAGGGAATTCCTGCCTTGTCCAGCTGCTGCTTCCGGGATCCCGGAATTGTTTGGGATTTGTGGTGCGGGGGAGGTGGGAAGAGGGAAAACTGGATCCAATCCAGGGATCCAGGGGATGGAAGGGGCTTGTTCCCAAATCAGTTGGGATTGGAAGGGGTTTGTTCCTAAATCCGTTTGGGATTTTACCCAAACTGGGAAAGGTGTTTGTTCCCAAATCATTTGGGATTTTTAACCAGGGTGTGAAAGGTGTTTGTCCTAAATGAGTTTGGGATTGGAAGGTGTTTGTTCCCAAAGCACTTGGGATTTTAACCAGGGTCTGAAAAGTGTTTTCCTAAATCAGTTGGAATTTTACCCAAGGTGTGAAAGGTGTTTGTCCCTAAATTATTTGGGATTGAAAGGTGTCTGTTCCCAAAGCACCTGGGACTTTTAACCAGGCTGTGAAAGGTGTTTGTTCCTAAATCAGTTTGGGATTTTTACCCAAGCTGTGAAAGGTGTTTGTTCCCAAATCATTTGGGATTGAAAGATGTTTGTTCCTAAATTTTTTGGGATTGGAAGGTGTTTGTTCCCAAAGCACTTGGGATTGAAAGGTGTTTGTTCCTAAATCATTTGGGATTTTTAACCAGGGTCT